TTTTCATTTGAGGAACAATTTTTTAAAAATATTTATAGCTTCAAAAAGTCTGAACTGCCATCTGATTGGCTTGGAAAATCACAACATTCATGATTTTATTTAAACCTGATTTTTGAATAAATGAAGGTGGGCAATTGTACAGGTCTGTGTAGAGGAAACAAAGTGCTCATTAGAAAGTGAACCTGAATTTCTTTGGCTAGTGCTCTAAACCTGTAATAACAAAAATAACATTCACTTACTCTAAAGGGCTCAGACATTAAATGTTCAAAATAGCAAGCAACAGGATAGCAAAACTAACTTGGCCACTGATGGTTTACTGCCCTGTGTCTGAATTTCACAGTTAACCTGAGTTTTTAACCACATGAGTGTGTGTTGTAACCTGACTTCATTGACCGAGCGAAGGTTTGGCAGAGCTGGAAGGAGTGTTGGGCTGTGGCTAGTGGAGTTCAGGGGACTCCAGGCTTCCTTCTGGGCAGAGAGCTGTCATGGTTTAACAGGGGAAAATCATATTAACTTGTGGTTTTTAAAGGATCTCGTTGCAATTTTCCTCCAGGTTAGGGTGTTCAGCAGTTCCCATTGCTAAATGGGAGAGAATTGTAAAGCATCCTCTTCCCAAAAACATAGGATGTATGCTCCAAGATAAACACAGTAATGATTCAGTAGTACATGGATGAATTTGTTGTGGAAGTGTTCAAGTATAGATTAACTAACCAGGATCTCGGATCACCAAGGTATGGTTTAAAACGGTTATCAGAAGAACGAGGAAGGTAAGCACTCTGAGTATGGGTTAAACTCTCTGGGGAAGGTACCATCCCTTGAGTTGGAGACAAGGAAATAACTTGATAATGCTTAGTAGAAAAACTGTTTCTTGCTCAGCTCTACTTGCAAGGACCTTGCCTCCAGCCTTTTTCAGTGTCTTCTCTGGAGCTGCTGCAGATTGAAAGGCCCAGCAGAGCCTGAGGTCAGCTGGAGGGGGAGATCCTGCTGGAATCCAGACATCAGCAGAAGGTGATTGTCCTTGTTCCTCCCTCCAGTGCCCAGCAGGATGGAAACTGCTGCAGAGGCCTCCTCTCTGTCGCGCACCTCTTGCTGCAGGCCCACTGGCCTCGGAAAAGAGAGCTAACCCTTCCCGTCTACCCTGTCCTCTGAGGGCTGCAAACAAGGGGGAAAAACATGCTAAAAACTGCAATTGAAGGGAGATTTCTGGGCTGCAGGAATTGTTTTTGTGAGGTAGCTCTGGAGTTGTGCAGATGTTCTGCTGCCGGTTTGGCAGCCCGGGCAGTGGGACAGCAAAGTCTGCAGGGTGTCCTGATGCAAAGATGAAGTCATCCCTTCTGACCCAGCCTCACTGAAGGCACTGCTGAAGTTTCTCCTCTTGCAAAACCGGCATCTTGCTTCATTTCCTGACAACAGAGGAGCGTTGCTGATCGGGGAGAGGCTTTAGGTCTTGGGATTTGTCTCCATGGAAATGAAAGGCATCCAAGACCTGCTGGGTGCTTGGACATTGAGTAAGCAGTTAGAAGTGTCTTTTTTGACCCCTGTTATGTTTGGGGTGGGAAGAGATGCTCACGTTCAGCATATTAGTGCTGTTCTCTACCTTTGTATGCTCCCCTGGTTCATCCTTCAAACTGTTTCATAGTACTGCAGCTGGTCCAGGGGAGATGGGAAGTTGCAAGAGAGGAGCAGCAGAAAGAAAATCAAACGCTAAAATCAGCAAAGCGAAGTCTGTCTGAAGCTGTGAAAGGTAAGTTTGTCCAGTGTGGGCGGAGAGAGGTATGTGTGTAGTTTATTATCACAAAGATAGGGGTTTTTTTACAAACATTATTACAGCAAAACTGGCTGCAGGCACCTGAGTGTGTTTAGCATTTCGGGACAAGTTGGGTATAGACTATAACAACTCGTGTCATGCCAGGCAAGGAAACGCCAATTTCATCGTTTTTGGGCCAGAACGTCTGTTTTGCATTGGGAATTAGCAGAGTACTCGAAGGCCTGTAGCATCACCCTCAGAAATAAAGCAGTCAACTGAGAAAGGATCTTTGCCAAGTTAACTGCTGCGTTTTGCCAAAGGTAACCACCTGGTACCATAGGATATTTCTTAAAGGAACATGATCTGCACACACAACACCTCTGACGGTGGGTTTGGCATATCCTGAAGTAGTTAAAACGTGACACTACTTATTTCAGAATGCATCTTGGCTAACAACAGATTACTCCCAACAGAGTGAATTTAATTTTAAAGAATTGATGCTCATGCATGCTTTATGAGAGCAGGTATGGCAGCTGCTGCTCGGGAGAGTTTGTCATGTAGGAGATGGACAGAATCACTGCAATTGCAACAGGAAGAAAATGTGTCAGTCACATTGAATTTTGATCCATTTTACCTCTTTGAAGCTACAAAAGCAAGTGATTGCTTCTGAAAAATGTGAGTAAATGGCTGGAAATGGGGAGATGATAACCCTGCTCCACATGCCAGAAAAGTAACTTGTTGGGAGATGTACAAGAGAGCCTTCAAAGAGGCAAGAGAAAGAGGCCGAAGTGAGAGTGAGGTGGCAAAATATTTCCTTTCTTAGACTGGAGATGGAAGGAGGGGTTTGTGAAAGGAGTTTGATGGAGTGGCAGACAGGGGAGGGAAGCACGTTTATTTTTTATTTTCAAGGACGTTGCAAGCTGAGAGGTGTGGTGCCATCCGTGGGCCAAGGCAGGGAGAAGGGCTGGTGCTAAAAGAAACAGGTTAGGGTTTTTTGCTGGACAGATTTTTTGCTGGTTGAGTTTGAACTGGAAGTGAGTCAGAGAAGAAACTCCTTTCTCTTTTATTCATGTAACATAATGTATAATATTACAGGAAACAGAGGTCTGCTGGTCAGCTCGTGCTTCTAATGCCATTTTTGTAGAAATAGAGGTCCTTTTCCTGCAGGTAGAAGATTGCTATCCCTTTTGATTATCTGAATCTGTTTATCCATCTGTTCTGAACAGTTTGCAGCAGATTGTTAGCACTCTGCTTCCCACCAGCCTCAGTACCTGTAAGTCTCATAAACCTTTTGCCCTTTGTGTAAGTGGGAAATAGAATTTACTACTTCTCCAACAGGGTTTCCCAGTTTTGCAGAAATGACCCAGGGTAAACTGGTGTTTTTACAAAAAAAAAGTCTTTTTTCCAAAACACTTGAATCTCCTTGGCACTGGCACTCATTGAGTAGATTTTTGATCCTGTATATTAATGGTTAAGTTAGGCCCCTTGGTGTCCTTCCTCCTGTGACAGGACATGTTCAACCTGGTGCAGCTGTGCACAAGTGGTGTAAAAGGGTCTGTCCCTGCCGTCCTGTGGCATGAAAAGCCCTCTCCACTCCTCTTTGCTTAATTCATGATCTCATGAATTGTCTGTGGCCTTTGTTTGTCTCTAATTACTGTGATATTCACACGTTGGTCACTTAGGCCACATACCCACCTCCAGAGGAATTCTGAGCTTTGTCAGCAGAACCAGCTGTGATAATCCTCAACTGCCCTAAATTTAAGAAAAGATGGCAGTCACTTCTTCCCCTTTTTCCACAAAATAAACGAGCTGTATTTTTTTTTTTCATCCTTGCCTTGACACCTCATGACAAAGTCCTTGTTTCTTGCCTTATTTTCTGCGTGTTATTTTGAATGCCTTTTGAGTGCGCTGCTCTTCAATTCCTGTGCCTGTTTTCCAATGTCATATACTTGGAGTGAAAGAAGTACTTTAATGCTCAGAAGCCTTTCTTTGACACGGAAACCCCTGGAAGACACGGTCCACACTGGCAGAGAAGATGTTGGCTGTGGTTGAACGCGTCTCTCACGGGTGGGTTCCCCTGCGGAAGAGGCAGCGTTCGCCTCTGAAGGAGCAGGGAGCTCTACGGAGTTACCGTATTTCAGAATGGTTAAACTGATGCTTAAAACTGGTTTCTAAAGCTTGCTGGTATCCCCTTTCCCTGTTCAGCCATCTACTTCTTTTTGACAGACAGGCAGCTACCCTCGCTACCTTTTCCAGTCTGCAGACTGTGCTTCACTTCAAAAATAACGTGGCTCTGGCTGGATGTTACGGCTCCACACGGGCGGGAGGGGATGCAAACAGAGAGCATTCATCCCAGACAGAATCCTTATTCATGGGTCAAGCTGTAATGGACTTGGGCTCCCACCTCAAAAAGTTAATTGGAGCCCATACGTAATTACAACTGCTGTTCTCACTTTCCTAAACCTTTTAGCCTGGAATCTTTGCAAGATGTAGGTCCACAGCTCCCATTTTCTCCAAGACCCATAGCGTAGGGGTAATGAAAACGGTGAATGGTGTAGAACGGCCAGCAGAGCCCTGCAGAAGAAACTGTTGGAAATAATGTCTAAATTGTGTGGTGGGTTCTTTTTTTTTTAATGCATAAAGTACTTTGAATGAAAAGGGTCAGAGAAGGCCAATGTTTTATTAGCAGCTATAACGCAAATGAGAGTGATTAGCCTTTTTCTCTACAAGAAAAGCTGTGTTTTGAGCTTCTCTGTGTCAGCACAGATTCTCCGTAATGATTAAAGCAATCTGCTGGCTGGCTTCCATGTCAGCGGGCGTCCAGGAAAATTATCTTGGTGTTTCTTTCACAGTGCTAACAGTGTGATACTTCAGAAAAGTAGCTTTTTTTTTTGCCTGTCATGTGGGATCCCTACTGTGCCCTCCTAATTTTAAGTTATCCCCTGACTGTTCCATTCAGATAAATTATTTAGAATATTTTAAAAAGTCATTTCATGCCTTTTACTCAAAATTAATGTAGAAATAAAACTCTTAACCTCTACATTATCACCTCCTTCAGCATTTTTTTGGTTATAATTACAGCAATAACTAGCTCAGATTTTTCACTGTGAGGGGCTTGAGTGCATTACTGAAGAAGGGAAGGTTTCTAAAAATTCAAGTCTTTATTTAGAAAACTGGCAAGTAGCCAAAACCGAAAAAAAGCGTTGCCACCAAATTAAATAGTCTGTTAAAACCATTGGGGCTAGCGAGAGAGATGGCGGTACAGCTTTCATTGCTGGAGCCGGGTTTGTGCTACCTCCAGCTGTGCCTGATCCTTGGAGCTGGCAGCCTCTTCCCCCGCTCAGGTTTATCCTTTCCAGGGCTGGAAGAAGCTTGAGGAAAGTCTTAGATGACACTTCTGCGAGGTCGACTCCTGTGAGGTTGTATGTAATCCCCTTACAAAGAATAAAAGTGTTCCCACCTCTTTTTAATTGGAAAAAAAAAAAAAAAAAGGCAAATTTAAAACTACAATTCTGGAATTAAATCTTGGATTGACCTAACCTGGGTAAGGATGCTGAGGTACCTGGTAATTTTGCTGAGAGTCTGGAGTTGGAAGTTGTTCTTTATTTATTCTTTATTTATCGAATATGCCAGTATCTGTGTGCCACCTGAGGAAGCTGTGAAATGTAAAGGCGGTCGGCTTCGGCTCTGTGAGGAGCAGCCAGCTGCCTGTACAGGGCTCATCTCTCTCGCAACAGCGGCATAGGATAAAGATTCACCTAAACCGCACACTTGCGGGGAGGTTGGGCTCCACAGTTACGTCATGGTGGCAGATATGTAGGCGCTGGTGGCTAGTGCAGAGGGATTTTCATGCTTCACCATTTAGGGAGATCTTAGACAAGGGCTGATTCATCGGGCGTGTTAAGGAGGCTGCATGTGCTGCTTCCTCCGCCGTCCCCCCTGCGTGCTGCTCCATCTCCTTTGCTAGCGACTGGCCCCACGGCCCCCTCGCACCCCGAGCCCTGATGAACCCGGTGTTGCTCCCAAGGGCGCCTAAGAACATGCAGCAAGCAGCACGATGAGGTTGCTCGTGTCGATACGCAACTGATGTACTGCCATACTTCAGCGCTTGACTAGAAGACAGACTTTTCCAGAGCCGGAGGATTACCTAGTAATTATGCCAATTAAAACTTGGTTATCTCCTAAGGCTATTTTTGTTAGGTCGTTAATGGCGATAGATTTGTGATGAGCAGTAACTGTGCAGTAAGGCCAGGACTTGGGTAATAATTTCCTAACAAATCTGAGTAGCAGAGTTTAGCTAGCCAGCTCCCTCTTTGGTAGGTATTGCGACAGGGTTTAAACAAAATTCTTCTGAGGTAATGTTACGCTGTCCTCCTATGGCTTTCCACACTGTATAAGAAATATGACAATTTTGGAGTGACGTTCTAAGTATCGGGGAATGCCCAGGTACTGAGGAGGCTGCCTTTCTGGTTACTGTGCAGCAGAGGAACCAAAAGGGGCTGGGAGAAGGTTAAGAGATGAGACACGCGCAGGAGAGCCTGCGGCCTCGGTGTTAAGCGGCTGTGTGCACGACCCTGGCAACATCAAGTCTTGGCTAATCCTTGCTTTTTGCCTCCTACCCCTGGCTGCTCCGAGGAAGGTCTGTGAGAGGTGTGAGCGGCCAGCAGCTATGACGCGTCTTGGACCGAGTAACTTTCGGGGACACAGCCTGAGACGCTGTAAGTCCAGGGGCTAACATAGGGTGGGAATTGCCATTTAACAAGCTTTGTTAAAGTGAGCAGGTCCGCATGAATGCCAGAGTTTAGAGGTTAGGATCCCATCGACTTAGTCCATCTCTGCTGGCACAGACTGCAGGAATTTTCTACAGCTTTTCTCT